TGTGAAATGTAGCAAAACGCAGCGGCAGACTTTGACCCCGTAACCGACGAAGATGTCTGTGTGCAGTACCGTCACTCCACCAAACATGTCACAGCACAGCTAAGCAAAGAGTTTGTGATCAGCTTAAGTCGATGCCTCCAGGACTGTCTCGCGGCGTGACTAGCGGCTCCCGGGATGCTGCATACGACGCCTCGGCACATCAGCTAAGTATCAAACTTATATCAACTAGCAAGTCACAAGCTGCTCCAAAGGCTTCAAAAACAGCCCGTGTCGCCTTCAGCTTGGCTTCCTTCATAGCTCGCTTCTCGTTGATGTCAACCTGGCCAAGCATGGGATCAACTTCAGCATTCCAATTCAACATGACTGCCTAAAGCTGAAACTTGCCTCCGTGCCACTCATTTGAAAGGTACGCGAGTTCGAACCTGACGTCCATGCAAGAGCACTCCTAGCTGTCTGCAGCTGGCACACAAAAGCAGCCAAGATGCGAAGCTTGATCTGTGGCCGCCGCTTAAAGGCATCCCCGGGAGCAGCGGAGGTCCTTCACGCCAAGGCGCGCAATCAAAGACGTGCACGACATGTGCCCTTCGCACTGCCCTGAAGGCGGACAACATTAGCAGCAGCAGGAGCAGCAGCAGCAAAACAAAAAGCAAAAGACTCTCTGGGTATGCTCAGCCAGCTCGCAGATAAACCTCCCACAACGAGCCAAGGAGAAACAAGCAGCTTTCGTGGCAACTGGAGCTCATTTTGAACTTCTGGGTTCACCTGACTGTCAGTCCTTGGAGGAGGCTCACTGACCTGAACGTCCTCCATTTGCGAGCTGGTTGTCGCTTCCTTCATTATCGGCTGAAGTGTGGAGCTCTCAAGACATGAGACTCTCATACCCCTCCTGCCTTTTACAGCCTGACTGAAGCTGCAATAGTAAATGCCCCGAGAAGCACGCCTTGAGATCACTGAAGGTCACCGTTTTTTTCGCCTCAGGCTCAAAGTGATCAGAGCAGCTTTCGAATCACGTCATCAGCTGCACATGGAAAATCATGCGCCAATTTACCTGAAAGGACAAGAATCTTAAAACCTTTAACACCAGCAAGGAGCTGTTTGGGCCATTCTCATCACCAATGCTGCCCGTAATTAGAACTGCTGTCAGGTCTTGTCTTGATTTGAGGCTGACCCGGCAGTATCTGGCCATCCAAGGCAGCTTTGCTGAGGTTCTTACCCTGTCCGGTGGTGTCTTCGTTTCTGGACCGCCTCGGAATCTGTGCTGCATCTTGGGCTGGGGGTCAGTAGGTATGTCGGGGTAGCTTCAGACTACTGGACAAGTTGAACTGAGCTTCGTGGTTCGTGCGCTGCAGGTGTTGCAGGTGCAGCTGGTACGAGTTCTTTTCCTGCCCAGCCGCGTGCGTGCATGAACTTGCTCTTGCTTTGTCACGCATGACTGCAGTTTGGGCCTACAGCCGAGGATGCGTCGGCAACGCGCAGCACCGTCTCTTGCATTGGTTTCGAGAAGGCTGAGCTCTCCTAGCAGATGGAAAGTGAGCTAGTGTATAGCAACCATCAACTGTGAGAAATGAGTAAGTGATAGACAACTTTCATGCTTGCCATGAATGAAGCTAGGCATCGGGTCCTGTGCCAGCAAGACCTTCACTGCACCATCATTGTCAGCAAATCTCATGGGCTGCGTTACAGGAGCGTGCGCAAAGTGGCAGCAGCAGTGCTTCCAAATCAGCGGTGCGCAAGTCGAGCGTGGCCTCATCCTTCATGCGGAAGGTCTTCCATAGTAGAGGCCGATGGTGTCCAAACCTTGCCTTACTTCACGTAGCTCAAGAAGAAGCCAACAAAATCGTGATGCTGAATGCAGCAAACATCGGGATGAAGAGCAGGATCTCGCTATTGGCGGCTTGTGCGATCGTGTGCGGCAGAAGATGAGGCCAACATCTGGTTAAGATAAACGGTGCCAATGGCTTCAGGCCTTGGACTTAAAGCTTGAACCCGACCCAAGAAAGCAGCCGGGATTCCTTTGCCGATTCAACACTTAGCGGCTCTAGTCGCGCGACAATCAGCAGCCCTTTCTGCCCAAGCACGTTGGCTTCCATTGTTGACTTTGAGACTGGCCTAGGAGCAACGTCGCTGTCTTGAGATGCCTCGCGCACGGAGAGCACGCGTGAATCACAGAGCCCTTCATGCTTGCACAAAGGTCTACTGCTTCCCACAAGAAGCTTGCCTTGGTAAGTATACGGCTTTCACGCTCTTCGTGTGAGAGGTGCATGTGCATGAAGAAGTCACGCTCCTGCATGTTGCAAGGTTCAGATTGTCATCTGATCTGCGACGCACACGTGAATTTGCAAGAGGCAAACCTCTGAGCCCAAGAATATGAACGGGAGATTCTGCTTGACACTCTCAACGCAGTTTCATTGACAGCGCCTGATGCATGAAGATCCATTCCGACTCGGGGTGAACCTCATCGCCGAAGTGCTTGCAAACAGCTTCCAAGGCGACCATGCCTGGCTCAAAAACAAATCTCAAGCCTTCTCCCCCCGCGGCCCGTTCCCTAGGAAGCAAGAAGCACGCAGCCCATCGCTTTCCCGCGAGCAGCTTTTTGCTGTGCTGAGGCCAAATGAGGACTTCAAAGGGAATTAGGTGGCAAATGCAGCATCTAACCAAAACATCATAAAACTCCTGCAGTGCAGTATGCTGAAAGTTGCTAGAATTTCCCTCCATTGAAACCCCAACCAGCGCAGCAAATGTTCCGAGGTGTGCAGAATATGAAACCTCCTCAAAGCCTCAAGGAGTATCAGCAAACTGGGGGTATGACTCAACTCCATAATACCATTGCCGCACAATGAAATTCGTGTCGCAAGTCATTCTAAGGCCACTTGCTTCCCGGCCTGTTTAACAGAATTGAGGTGAGATGTGTTGGCAGCAAACTCTTCAAAAGAGTTCTGTGCCAAGCAAAGACATGAGGCGGTCTCAGGATCTTTTGCTCACAGCGGCGCTTGGACTCCTTGCACCTTAGGCAGCAGGGGAGTTCGTGCTCTGCGCGGGATGACAGATCTCAAATGGACAGGCGAGAGGCTGCGGCTGCGCCGCCAAGAGTCCGCGGCAGAGGCAGGCGCCAAATTCGGGGACTAGGCCCGGCTTCCTTGAAGAAACTGCAACACAAACTGTCACTGATACACGTCGCAGTTTCACATTGCAGCACTCTACAACACCGTTCGCGCTGGCCAGGCTGCCAGAAAGTAAAGATGCCCGCCGCCAGCGCAAAAACCGCTGGCTGCTGCATCCAGGGTGAGGTTCCCGGCAAGGTGCCCATCGGACTTTCTATGAACGTGGAGCCTGAGAAGCTTACCAAGGAGTTATCTCAGGTCTCCTGCAATGAGAGCCCAGCCTTGTACCGTTTTCCGCCAGAACTGCAAAGTGATGATCACCAAGAGCTCTCACAGCCCCTGTCGGGTTCTGCTGCTGCAAGGATCAACGTGCATGCCATACGGTTCTTGCTTCGTCGACCGCCTGGCAACCAATAGTTTTCCTCTCTTTCAACGAGCGCCTGCCTGAGTATAATGGGAGTTCGGCAAAAGGTATCGCGTGCAGTACAGGTGCAGCACAAGGCTCTAAAGTTTCACAGGCAGAGCACATGCATTTAAACGGTCTGACGAACAGCGCTGAGGAGGCAAAGTGTTAACTCTGTCAGAAGCCAGCGACACAGGCGCCACTCGGCCAGAGCGGCCAGCTTTCTCGGCAAGGCGGACCTTTGTGTGGAGACAAAGCAAAAGCCCCAGCAACTCCGTCTTGCTGCAGCAGAGCTGCCACACGCCCGCGTGAAGTGCCAAGAAGCACACAGCCAGCCCACGCGCTATGACCTGAGAAGTCTGCATGATCACGATCATGAAATTTGAATGCATGTACATGACGGGCAGCTGACCTTTACACCAGGAGTCAGCGGTCAAAGTCACAGCCTGACAGGGTTGAAGTTTCAGTAGTCGGTTGCCAGTAATGCTGAGACGTTTGTTATGTAGACAGCATTGCTTCATGAAGGCGTCTACTAAACAGCACAAGACTCGCTTTAGATTTCGGCTCTTGCCGGTCCTTCTCAACTCGTGCATGGGGCTGTCCGCTGTCAGCATCCGCACCCACACGGAGCTCCTTGCAGATGTGTCTCGAAACAAGGGCACCCAAAGGAGGCTTTCTTTGCAGTCTACCGAGGGTTTGTTTCGTAAAACAACAAATTACTCAGTCATGTCGTCGCTCTGTTGTGCATCCAAAGCCGGAGCTTGCAAGCAGCGCATCAGTGAGGACTGTTGCATGTAAAAGGGTGCGAGTGTCAACAACAGCATTATTCGAACGATGTTGTTTAAAGCTTTGTCCTCCAGCCAGGAATCCGAAACATCTGCGCGGTAGCTACCTTTGGAAGGGGTCTACGATGCACGGTGCAAGCAGCTCCAATAAAGCAATCAATCTGAAGGCAACTTCACAGCTTGTCACAGTTCCCACCTGGCAACTCTTCGCTGCCAAGTCGGCAGGAGCTGAGGCGCTTTCCGTGACTGTGAAGGACCTCTTCTGCTAGTTGCATTGCATAGGCCAACCGTTGACAGCTATGAGGATGGGCAGTGTCCGCCCATACTTGCTTCTGAGAGCTTTGCCAAAGCCTCGCATCGGCCACTAGCACAGTCCACAGCCACATCGACAAGTCCTGTCTCAAGAGCTTGGCTGGGATCATGCAAATGGATAGGACTATTTGGCTTTCTGGACATGAGCTTGCATCCTTCGCCGAGCACTGGTGGGCATGGGGCCTGGAGCAGTTTTCAAGGCAAAAGCCACTGTACTGGCGAAGCCTGAACTGGAGCATCGACTGTCTGCCTCATCGAATACTGCTGATGGTGGCACTTGAGTCGAATGATTCTGCACGGCAGCACTGAACAGCATCAGGCCATCCTCAGAACAAACTCCAAGAAACTCGTATCCCAGCAAAACGCCAGAGCGAAAGATTCCAGATCTCTTTGCAGCCGGGGAATCTGAGACCAGAAAGAGTTGGCCTGCTGCATCGCAGGCCAGCCCTTGAGGCCTCAGAGAACAGCACATGCATGGCGACTTTTTCGTCCCGTGTCTGCAGCAGGATTAGTAAACTCAGCCTGCGGCAGAACATTTTCATAGGGCCATGAGACACTTAACATGTCCTTGCCGGTCAGGTGCTCTTCTCCTGAGAGCATGTCATGCAGAAGCCAGTTCTGGGGCCATCTCGGCTGATCTCCAGGCAAGAGCCCAGATGCCTGGACCGCTCTCGAAGAATGAAAGCGTCCACGGAGGCATAAACGCGGAGCCTGCCAATCCACTTCTTGCACTTCATGCACAAATGCACACCGACTGTACTCGAGAACCGAGGATGCACGCTTCTTGCAAAGATAAAACAGAAACCCCATACTTCAGCATGCGGCAACTGATCCATGAAGAGGATGCGGCCGGACTGACACAGCACTTGTGCCCCCTTTTCTTAAATAGAATTTGTGGATGTGAAATGGCAGCTATTGCTAACGAGGATCGCTGCAGCAGTAGCGTCTCATTCTCGCTGTGGGAATAAGTTGCAGACGTCCTCTTCAAGACCTTGTACGAGTCCATGCAGCTAGCAACATCATATGAGTGGGGCGACCTATCAAAAAATGTAACGACAAATGAAAATTTGGATACCAAAAAATGAAACTTAAACATGACCGAACAAATCCACTAGCCAAATGTGGACAGTCACAGGGATCGTGGGGGTTCAGGTCGCGATCCTCGCAACTGTCATCGTTTTTAGGCAGATTTTGTGAATTACGGCGTTTGGAGCTCATCTGGAGCTTGTAGATGGGGGGTGGGGGCAGCCCCTGCAGCCCCTCGCCGAGGCACATACAATGGTCCGCATAACCCCCATTTTGTAAACAGTAGACATGCATATTTCCTGGATAGGCGTTCCACTTTGCATTGCTAGGCGCGAGGGCTAGAGCTGGCCAGCCAACATCTCTGTTGTGGGTTTAGGGCTTGCGAGCTGACATCTTTTTTCAGGGTTCAAAGTTTGCCAGCTAACCTTTTTCTCTTAAAGCTCAGGGTTTGCCGGCCATTTCTTGCTGTTGCCTCTTGTTTCCGTTTTTTGTCTTTCGTTCTTTCCAGCTTTCTATTTACCCGCTTGCTTTCCTGGCTACTTTCTTTCTTCTCTCTGTCCAAAAGGATTCGAGGGTCCAAAAGCGACGACAATATCGGAGATCGCGAGCCCGAACCCAACGATCCTTGTCAATGTTGACACTTTTCGATCAGGATCCAAGGCTCCAAAAGCAAACAACAGTTCCGAGGATTGCGACCCCGACCCCCACGATCCCTGTGACTTGAGACTTTTGAAGCCCCAAGAGCATCTGAGGATCTGAAAGCGACAGCAGTTACGAGGACCCAAACCCCCACGATACCTGTGACTGTCCACTTTTTGGCTAGTGCTTTCACGTTATGATTCAATTGTGTTCTACTCTCTTATGTTTCTGATTGTAATTCCTTGTGTAGGCATCCAGTAGAAGTGTGACTCTCATTTACCAAAGGGCGTGGGCAGCATCCATGGCATAGTAGAGCGCTGCTGACAGCCACAGGAAGCAAAGCCTCGAACAGATTCACACATCCCGGGCAGCAAGGGCTGCAGCGTAATCCAATCCCCTGTTCTGACCGAACCTGACCTAAACCATCACACTCTCTCTGTGTGACTCTGCATGGAGAAATATGGAGAATCTGCAACACATTGCAGCTTGCCAAGGAACATGTTCATCGCAAACGAGAAGGTCTGCTGCGGTAGAACAATTGGTGCTGACCGCTCGCCTTGGGTCACTTGCTTGCAACAAGCCCAATGTAGTACCCCAGTGTTGGGCACCATACACCTGGGCTAAAGCTGCACTGAACAGAAAACATTATGCGGCAGGCTGTCTGCCGTGCCGTGCATGTCGAAGCTTTTACAATGTGAGAATCTCTTGGACTTCATGGCTGAACGGCATTTGCTTGACAACGACGAGCCGCAGCCAGTCACGACTCCGGAGTCTTCCGGGAGGTTGCTTGTAGTGCTCAACCAGCTGCGAGCGTTGTAGAACTCAGATACATCCCCCTCCACCTGCGACCATAGCTGAAGAGCGCTGAAATAAGCTGCAAACAATCGTAGAAACCACCAACAAAGTGCCGTCTCAAAACACAAGCTGAAGCAGCAAGCTGTTTCAACCTGTAAGCTTTCCTCAAACAGCAGGATGCTTTGTTGAAGCCCAAGACACCAAATCCTGGAAAGTCTGCGGATGGGGGGCCCCTTCCGTGTTGGAGTAATCCGTTGGGGCAGACATCTCCTCCAAAGCAGAGACGTGCATGCCAGGGCTTGTGCAGACAGCGTGTCAAATGGGATTAGTGGCAACATCACCAAAGAGACCCAAAAGTCCAACAACAATTGGCTGCGAGTTGCTGCAACAACCCTTTTCTGGCTCGTACCGAAAGTAAAGGCAGTGCAAAAGTCTCGCAAACGCTCAACTCGAAGTGCCTGCGCATGCCGGACTTACCGTGTTCGTGCCGGGCACAGCACATCCAGCACATCATCACTCGCACAAAACTGCTTACTCCTGTACTATCTGGGCTTGGTAGCAGAAAGATTCGGTGGCCTTGAAAGAACGGAGCATCGACGCTATGAAATAACAGGATCACGTGTCACTCGATCCTTGCGACATTAGTAATGCTCGCTGCAGACAAACCCGAAGATAGATGCTGCGTATCAGTTCGCGGTGGGCAAGGAATCCACATGAAAGAAGTTCTGCGCAAGTGTCATCTCGTGCTTCTGCAAAGAGCACAATGCGGAGGAACGGTGAGCTACATGTGCTTGATCGCCATTCTCAGAATCCGTAAGGTGCTCTGGTAGGGCTCTCTCATACTGACCACTTATGCAAGCACTTGATGCATCTCTCTGAACACAGTGACACAGAGCATTCAAAATTTTGAGGTCTTTCGCCTCGATCTGCGAATCAGCGGTGCCTACCAGAAATCTATCCTACGGATCCATGCGCTATCACACAAGTTGCCGCCTTAAATGGCCAGCATACCAAAAGATGTGGCTTGGCCACAACCCAATTGTGACAACATGGTCAAGCTGACGTTACCCGCTGCGTGGCTGTGCAGGGCTCACACTTCCACATGCTCACGCTTTGACAGGAAGTCAATGTAGTGCTTGGCCACAACCCAATTGTGACAACATGGTCAAGCTGACGTTACCTGCTGCGTGGCTGTGCAGGGCTCACACTTCCACATGCCCACGCTTTGACAGGAAGTCCATGTAGCTCTGAACTGCGACCCAGCTGGCAAGCGAGTCTGGCCCGTGGTCTACGAGATTGCGCCTTGCAGCAAACTTCACCCATGGAAGCTGCTCCAAGTTTTCCTTCCTGGTCTGCATCATCGACGCAAGACAGTTGACGCTGCGTCCGATGCCAAGGCAGACCATTGCCAAAACGCGACAGGCAGCAACAAGACATTCTGAAGATGGCCGATGTTGATAAACCGGCACCTCAGCAGTCGCTTCTGCCTCGGGCATAGCCGCGACCGTAGTTGTCATCGCCACCTGTCTTTACAACCTTAAAATCACTGGCTTGAGCTTGAGCCAGTAGCTATCTGGAGAGTTTGGTTAAGAGCTCTTCCCTGTATGCTTGCACATGCTCTAGAGTCAACGCTTTCACGTTGCATGGCTTGCTTTGTCCTCTGGGCGGTGGACCCTCGGTTGACCCGTCTCGGCGTACTCGACCATTCCCTAGGCGAAGACGTGACATGGCATGGCAAATCATCATGATGACTAAGCTTGCTCTGAGACTCAAGTACAGCATGTTCTGCACAGCATTTACCATATTAACCCTTGTGCCTCATCTTGTGCAAGCTCAGTTACTGTGGCTGGCTTGCCTGCCGCTTTCGCCGCTGCAGACGGTGGCAGGCGATCGCTTCCCGCCTGCGCTGCTTCTGAAAATCCTGGACTCCTTTTTTTTAATCTCACTGGTATAACTCAGAACAAAATAAGGCTGTCGTAAAGCATGCATGCTGCGACTCTCTGCCCACCTCGCTGAAGGCTGCGTGCGATTCAGAGGCATCGTGACTGATGGACTGACGATTCGCCTGAGCCTGCACCGAACAAAGTTTGTCAACAGCCTGTCGGGAACCCCAGTCAGCCTGCGCGGCGGAGGTCCAACCGAATACGTCCAGGTACAGAACCTGCACGAGCACTTGCATGGAAGTCCATACACACACTGCTTTCCATACTTTTGTGCCTTGTCCTTGCAGGTTGAAACGTCATGTCATGTGAAGTTACCAATCACTGGTCCCAACTTGCACTGCACTCTTCGAAGCTCTCTGAGAAACAGTGTCACCCGTGGAACCAAAGTATCCTTCATTTCCTCTGAAACTACTTTCAGAGTTGCAAGTCTACTGCTGGTCATAGTAAATTCGGGCAGGATTAGAAGAGGCGCAAGCTTGGAAATCAAAAATGCCTCACGAAGAAGGCACCTGGTGCGTCAGAGATGTTTGCTACTTTTGGAAGATCTGTCGAGACTGGAAGGCCTGTGGAGGTGATTGCAAACCCGTCATCCCGCTCCTGAAACAATGCGATCCTGAATTCGCATTTTTGTTAAGACTTTCGAGTGGACGCAGATGAGATAGGAGACAGTGTTGCTGTCCGCCGTGTGGGGGCCAGGGCCCAAAGGGTGTTGTACAGCCGGGCTCCTTCTGCAGGCCACCAGCCGGCGGCTGTCCACACCGCGGCCGCCATGCTGGCAGATGACTTACAAAGCGTCGTGAAAGATTACAAACAGCTCATGACAGGTTTGTAGAGAAAACACTACAAAATACTCCACAGATTCGGCCCAGCACCGGAGGGAGGTCGGGACTTGCTCGGATTTTTTGGATGGACAGAATAATCCAGAACAAGCCCGATAAGAACGAGAGGGATGTAAGCAGAAAAGCAAATCAGGCAAGTGTCAGACACCACCATGTTTTGTAAATGCAGCAAAGGCACGGATCTGAAGGCCGCGGGCAGCCGGGCGCCGTTGTGCTCCATGTGCATGCGGCAGAGCGTGTTCATGGTGGTTAGATACCTCATCATCGGGCTCATGATACGTCCGCTGAACAGTTTTACCCATCGCGATTATGATGCTTGGAAGTTCTGCAATTCTCAGACATCATTGACGATGAATGATATGAATGATAATGGGTCTCAATCCCTGGCATGGTACAGGGCATGTGCCAGGAAGGCACAGACGACCAGCCCCTCGGCCTGCCTGTCATGGCCATCCTCGACCTCAGAAACTTGCATGCGCATGCACCCTTGCAGTCTCTTACACCTTCCAGGCTAGCTTTCGACCAAAAACTAAGATGCACGCAAAATCAGTAAGCAACGTTCACGCACAGAGATGATGTCAAAACTAGCCCAGCTGCATATGCCCACCCGGCTAGCGTGGCAATTGCAGGTCCCAGATATAAAAACAACTGCATGAGTCGCAGTTGCCACCATGTTAAAGACATATCGAGACGATTGAGAGTTTCGGCCATCGTTGTGAGCACCACAACACCTCAGCCCAGGCAAGCTCATAACAAGCGCTAGCTTCAGGATGCGGGCTTCCTGAAGTCACAACATTGCCAGCGAGTCTCCATATGTGGCAGAGGATGGGACCTTCACCTCCGACATGTAATAGGCCAGGATGAAGTAGCTTGCGGCATTGAGCAGCTGATTCACGCCAATGCTCATGCAAATGCGCGCAAATGCGTCGTAGCTCTGCCAGAATACCATCGCTTGTCGAGCCAATTTCACGTGGCGAAGCTTTTGTACACCTGAAGATAACAGACAACGAGAGCAGCCTACAAGAAATCACACATCATGCGACAATGCCGGACCATTTTTCTGAGTCCAACCGTTCCTCTCTCACGGCTTCTGACAAGCGGCTGTGACCCATCTTGCACCCAAGCTCAGGGATGTCAGAGCCCGAGCCCTCAAGGCCCTCAGCACTTCTTCGGGCTACCGGATGAGCAGGCAGTGCTTCATGGCCCTTGTCTACAAGGTCCTGCCATGCGATCCTTCTGGCTGCAGACCGGAGGTCGCAAACCCTGAAGCCAGCAAACGCTCAAATTCACACAAACCTACAAAGATTTACAACGTAAAACAAAAAAACACGGGGGCCTACTTCATTCTCAGGCAATCAGGGCAACCTGGATCCATGGCCAAATTTCCGAAATACAACTGGAGAAGCCGAAATGTTCAGTCAGCCTGCTTGGCTCTGGGCAATGGGGAAACAACACTGGAACCCAGAAGGTGAAACAATGCTGGAGAAACACAACCTGCCCATCAAAGTGCCGTAGGTGGTGCTGCTCGGAATGCTGTTGGGCCCGTACAGTCAATGAAATCTGATGTGCCACTCCAAGTTGCCCAAGGATCCACGTGGCGATTCACCTCTCCGAGCCTTTCGGAAGCGCTTATGCTATGGAGCTGTGACAAGCTCGCAAGTCAAGTGGAGGGGGTGATTTGCACAAAACAAACCTTGAAACAGTCTTGAAACCAGGTACTCTGTCGACATAAAGAGAAACAACCATACATCCCCAAAATCCCGGCCGTGACGAGGCTGGTGTGTCCACTCTGGGCCCAGCGTCCTGCACATGCTGCTGCCGCGAATGCCATCCCGAGACAAAAATGAGAGTGAACATGTTCTCTCATGCCAGTCCTGCTCGGCTTCTTCTGTTTCTTCAGCTAGACTTTCCTGTGCTCCCATGGCGAAGGGAATTCCTGAGCTATCTTATTTCCGTACTGCACACTGCTTTGCAAAGTGATGCCTCTGCAAGATACAACGAACTGAATATCCTCTGTTTTGAACTATTTTGGGTTCCGTACTCAGAATTCTGATTTGAGACGAGCAACGGAACATCTGCTTTGCCTCTAGCCGTTCAAACTCAGAGGCATAGGTTCGACAGGCCTCAATCTCCTCGCAGAGAGAGCAGCGGTGAACCAAAGAAATCCGAAGGATACCCTGCAGAAACCATGCAGGCCTGCCAGGTTGGAATGGGCAGTCGCACCATCTGCGTCAGCAGCCGCGTCTCGAAGCTCTGCGCTGATATTGCAGCGTGCCTGCACGACCAGAATGAAGCAAGCGTAAAGACCGCAAAGCTCCTGGTCTGAAATTCTGAAAACGACACAATATCCTAACATACATTTTCGTCTGATGATGATCGACATGTCAGATCAAGCAGGAAGTGAAAAAAACTACCTGTGCTATCTTCCTAAAGTGTGGAGAATTGCCCCTGCTCAGGCTGAGCCCCTTGACTGCGAGCAAAGGTGGTCTGAATGAGGTCGAAGCACATGGCCATCCAAATGGAGAGCAAGATAAAGGAAAACGAGCCGGCCATTGCCAAAGCACTCCCCGTCATAAGCCACACCTGTGCTACGTACCCATGTTGGCTGCGAAGCCAGACGAGCTGAATGATGCAGCTACACAAAAGAAAGCTCACTGTGTCTTCTCCGAACAGAACAAAATGCTGAAAGCGGGGCTGCTCTGGCATTCTGAGGCGCTGGGGTTGTGTGGGGCAGCTTGCCCTGACACCAGAGGGCGACAGTGATTCCCAGAAGAAGCACGTTGACGAGCAGGTAGACATGCATCTTGTATTCCTCAGGCATCACAAAAAATGGAAAGCGCAAGAGCCGCAATGCCTTTGCAGATTAGAGATGCCTCATGCATGCCTGCACCCCGGTGAGCCCTCCTCGGCCCAAGTGCTGCCATCTGTGGTTGGGGCGTTGGCGGTTCAGCGTTTTGGGCTTTGTGGATGTTTCGGGGCACCGCTTGAGCTTGAGTCTTGAGGGTATCGCGTTTCTTGTGCTGAATGGTAGCTGCAGTCAGGAAGCTGTCAGAGAGATGAGATCGCGAACATCTTTCCGCCAAAGCTCTGCTTGGTCAACACGAAAGCTTTGTATCTGCAAAAAGCAAACGGAACAGCGGCCAGTCCAGGGCATCTGAATCTTAAGTGACAAACAGCTCCCCGCGCCTGAAACTCTTTTCGCCGGCGCAGAGTGCGATCCCACAGAAAGTTCTCGCGGTTGTACTTGAAGGCCTCCTTGACGCGATACTACCAATCCCAGTGTGAACCGGAACCCTCCTTGAACCGATACGAGATTGTATTTGCGCAAAGACCTGCAAGCTTTCCAGAGTTGACACTTCCCCTGCGAATCCCCTCAAGTCCCCTCTTCACTGGCAGGCCTTTGCTGCCAACCCACCGCCTGCAGCCACGCCTGCATTGAGCTCATGCAGACTTTTGGAATGCATCGACATGCCATGCAGACTGGGGATGGCCTGCAAAGCATTCTGCCATGACCGTGGAGGTTTCGGCCAGGGAAGCTAAGTTGCCTTGGAGAGAAGCGAGAATGGATCTGCGCTTCTGTGAAGTTGGGCAAGACTCGAGTAAGTACTGATTTGAATCAGCATGAGTGCCCAGTGAAATGGTGATACTTCCGTTGTTGCAAACGTCGACTGCAAGTTGTGAGGCAAGGTCACCAAGAAAGAGACCACAAAAGCTAAGCGGTATACACACAGAAGAAATTCTCATGCTGCCAAGCAGCTGCGTTAGTAAGGGATGGTGCGATGCCCGCAACTATGTCCTGAGATACGGGCAGCGAAGGTCACTACCGGACTACTTCATCGAGAATTCGACTGGCTTCCGACCATTTGGTCGTTCGGCCTTGAGCCAATCTGGCTGCCATGGTCTGACCTTTCTGGCCGCTGTCGTGGAAGAGCATGCTCCTTCAGCGCTGCTGCGGCATCCTCTGTGCATCTCTGCTGAGGCCTGGAAGCAAAGCTTGATGACGCCGGCGGAGGAAAGGGGAATCCACCACGAGAGGAATCCTGAAGTCCAAGTCCGGTGGATGTTTTGGATATGAGGATTCCCGGACCCAGGACAGGACAGGGAAAAGCAGTGCAAGTGCAAGGCCAAGTGTCTTTGCTCGCTCCAGTTCGGCATGCATCTTCTCCGCCTGTTGAAAGGAAACAACCCAAACTGCGATCTAAACCCTGTCAATTTCGTTTTCAGAAGGTCTACAAAGCATTCAGGACATTCCCGGAGGCCCGATTGTCCTCCCTGTTGCAAGGATTCTTGCATGAGAAAGCAATCGGAGACCTAGAGATGGAATGCACGAAAACCAGCTCGAATTATGTCAAAAGTTGCAGCTGTTCTCTTTGTTGCGCCTAGCGCAAGCGCGTAGCCATTTCCTCAACCCAGGGCGATGGCGTGTGATTTCTATTTGAAGTTTCACTCTTGCTGAGACGAAGGTTGTTTCGCATCAGCATCAATCGAGCGAGCGCAGGTTGAGCGTTCACACTCTCCGAAGCCCTGACCACCACGGGGTTGCACCTGCCTTGGAGGTATCCCAGGCGTTGCCCGCTGCACCACTTACAATCATCTTGAAATGGGCCGAGCCGAGGGTCATTCCGTTCTTCCGCCCTCCTTGTCATGGAGCACACTCCGAGTGAACCGTTCGAGTCAGGTTGAGGATTCAGCCTGAAGTTTCTAGGCCAGCCCAACAAAGAGCGCACACTCCTCAATCCCCATTCCCAAGACAATTCTGAATTGCTTGTCGTTCAGCAGAAGATTTTCTAAGCATCCGACCATGTTATGGAAGATGTACTATGTGGCAAGGACACGCAACATGGGAAGGAATCAACTGGTGCGGGCAACCAGCTGCAAACCACTCAACATTGATCTGCAGCTCGAGCACGTGAAGCAGCAACAAGCACAAGGCGTCGCCTTGCGGCTCAGCTTGGCTGGTAGCTCAGACAGGCTCTCAAGCCTCTGTCCCAGCCAAGTCGCCTTCCTGCCGCACGAAAAAGATATTTTTGCTACAGCGGCGCTCAAATCCTCACAAGCAAATGTCTTCAACATTTTGTGAGATCCGTAAAAAATGCATCATAGGCTTGCCTTTGATACAAGGTATGCTGTCAAGGTGCGCTCGTAGAGCTGATCGAAGAGCCTGGACATCAGCACGCTCCAGGTTGGAAGCCAAATGCACTGCAAATTGGATGGCTCTGCTCAGTAAGACGGCACTTGAAGAGCATTTGCCACATTTCAAAGCTTGCGATACACAGGATGTTGCAGCCCTCTCAGTTGGCCTCCAGGACCTTTGGCGTGAGCTTTGCCTGTGGCAAATTGTCGGCTCGCAGCAGCTTCACCTCCAATTTTCTCACATGTTCTTAGGTGCTTACACAAACTCTCGGGATGCCTCTGGTGATGCCGTAGTCACCGTGAGTGGTTCAGGCTGCTGAAGGGCAACTGAAGTCCTCGGCTTCAGCGCTCTGAAGCAGAGGGAGCAGAGGGCAAGCTGAATTGGGCACCCGACAATCCCACCAACTGGCCTGCCTCCAACAAACCCAGCTCCACCGTGGAGCTAAAGAACCTTGGCAGTTCTTCAAACATCACACCTGTCAAATCATTTGAAGTTGCTGTTGCAAGTGCAAAAGTGCTTCAAATGTTGAATCCGGGCATATCCGAGCTGCTATGTGACCGTGAAATGGGAGATACTGTGTGACTTTGACCAGGCCTCCTTTTGGTCTTTGGCGTGCCAACCTTGCCACATTGCCAGGCAACGATGGCATACAACTTCACTCACTTCACGTCTGCAGCGCGTTGCCTTCTCCACGCATACGTGCAAGCTTGAGGAAAATTCTAGGAAATAATTTAACTCCAAGATGCTCGCTTTCCCGTTTGATTCTCTTCGTTCGCAGGCCACTCCTTCCAGGCATCTGTCACAACAAGGAAAATACCAACCGAGAACCCACATCAGCCATAGCACCTATGCAGCACGACACATCAAGTTGGCTTTTGACTAGCAGGAGCCTTTCAGGTGGCTCGCATGTAGCAACGGTTCAAGAGTCACGGGGCAGTCTTACAATCGAAGTAATGTCGGACACGAAGACGCTTCATAAGACTTCTGCGCAAGACCTGGCCTCGTGGATGGGCTTTGGTGCTGCTGCTGCCTGGGAGCACCGGCCGCCTGCAATCAGCCACAGTGACGAGCTCACCTGCCCAGCCTCAAGGAGTCCACAGGCACAAGTGTGCAACATGCAGCAAGAGCCTCGCATCCCACCTTCACCAGAACACATCCCTTCCGGCGGGTCTCCTGCTTTCGGCTTTCTCAAGCTTGGCTGCGCAATCCAGAGGCCCAAACTAAGTCAAGCTGATTCACAAGGTTTGGATGTGCTTGATGAATCCACCTTTGAACCCTCCATGTCCTCTTTGAAAAGTGGCAGCAGCTTCTCGGCGGTCTCATCGTCGCATGCAAAGCTTTCACGAAGTAGCTTGCCTCAAAGATAAGATGCCATGCAGACTTCCAGAGCGATAGTGGCTTTCTTCTTGCCTCGGGCAGCACGACGGATCACTGCGCAGCGCTGGAGGGCATCATTCCAAGCTGCCTGGCGGATAATACCTTGCTGTGATTTTTATCTTCCAAGGATGTCTCAACTGTCCGGCTCACCTCCGAAATGCTGAGAAGAACAGAGTCCTCCAAGCACATGCAGATCAAGTGCAACACACGCTTTGCGGAGTTGTCCTTGTGGGCTCGGTACAGAGATGGTCCGACACTCGTGAACCAACCACCAAAGAAGTCGCCCTCTGCAAACTCTGCCAGGACGTCGTTCATGTCTTCCTGATTTGCAGATAGCACAAGCATTTGAAGCAGACTCTCCAATCTGGCGTGTGGGAGCAGAAAGCGAGAGGCTAATCTCTCTCAAACGCATGAGACGAGCTGCTGCAGTCTCGCTGGTCACACTTGCAGCATCTGCATCACCTGCCCGCGACTTCCAGTTGTGATTGCTTTACTTGCAAGAGCCGTGCAAGTCTTTGGGGCATGAGCCTGGATTTATCATAGTGAGGAACACGCCAGAGTGCCGCGCAGCTGACATGTTTGCAGCCTGCTGCTTGCATCCATCTCTTCCAGACTTGCTGTGAATATATGCCGTGGAACGCTGTAGTATCACGCCTGTTGCAGTATTGGCGCAGCGAAAGACTCCCGACTGGGCACACCTCAAAACGTATGTGGCAGCAACCCAATTAAACGTACACGAGCTAAATGGTACTTTGCAGGAAGCTACTGCAGGATCAGGGAATGGACTGAAACCTAAGAAATAGCACTGGGCCAAAAGCTCGACTGTGGTGGCTGTTCGATGGGCTCCACATCTGGCTCTTGGTGTGCCAGAACCTCCTGAAGTCCAACCTGACTGCCGAAAAACTCAGGGAAATGCAGTACATTGCCGTTGAATCCGCACTGAGCCTGGGCATCCTGATTCGCGAGCTCTTCCCTGAGCTGGTCAACTTGGATCTTCAGGGAGTGGTACCGAAGCCGGTCCTAACAAGGCTCAGACACGCAGCCTGAAGCAAGTTGCTGACCCAACGCCTGCAAGCTAACATCCAGAGGTCGCAAGCGCAACCTGCCCAGATTTGCGGTATGGCATCGGGAGCAGGGACAGCAGGGATCAGCCTCTCTCAAATCAGTCTCACCAAGCCATACTGTGCCAAAAGCCCTCGAGCGCATTCTGCTCATCAACGCCTCTGCTGCAATTCTGTCAGCTCGGCCGTGTCCTTCTCCAACCGCAACTTCTCACGCTGCTCCTGCGGAGAAAGGCAACTGTACATGCGCCATCAGGCTGTTGGGAGATCCTCCTGGGCGCGTAGCGTATCCTCCTGCTCGCATGATGCTTCTTGTGATTCCTGCAGAACAGCTCTGTAAACTCCTACAAGTACAGTAGCAGCATATTGGTGACGATGAAAGCTGACAGAGCTAGATGCAGGCCACCGTCTTGTCCTCTGCAACAGATGTAGGAGATGCTGTCACATCTGCTTCATAGCGGCCCACGACACCCTGCCAGGTAACGAGCGAGTCGGAGGAAGCGACCCAAGTACACTGCGGAGAGTAGATGGAGCTTCCACACATTTCTGCCCTGTTGCCTTCAGCACCACGAAGAACGGAAGGGAGTCCTAGGTTTCGAGGCAATGGGAATAGCAATGAAGGCATGTCGCAGGTAGCGTGCTGCAAATGCAAAACATTCCAAAAAAGGTAGTAAGCCCGGCACGCCCTTTGGCAGATCAACAGTTCCTGGAAGGAATTGGGCGCCCCTTCAGCAGGCTGCTTGCTATGACCTACACGCCTCAAGCAATGAACGGGGTCCTCCTTTGCTGATGCGATGCAGCGTGGCCTCTGCTGGGGCCAAAGCAGCAAAAAAGCTTCGGTGAAGGATGTCAAAAGCCTTGCCTCCTTTGCCACCTCCAAGCGCTGGTCGTAATCTAACTGCTGCAGTACAGGAACCTGCAGATGCACAGAACACAGCAAAGGCCTGCAGTGTCCCTGCAGCACAACCCACGCCAACCGCAGCTCACTGCCAGAGCAGGAGCCTTGAACACCGAATGAAGCAGCTCCGGATCCTGCTGGCAAAAAAACTTATGTGTCTCCCACATTCCACGTGCCGCAGAAGCTAGCTGACACGTCTGCATGATAAGTGCACCCATCCACATTGAAAAGAAACATGATCGTCCTGATCGCTCAGATCTGTTGGCCTTAGGCTCGTTGAGAAACCGTTGCGATTACAAAGCTCAACACTGCATGATCACGCGCTGCATGCTTGGTCCCGCTCTGAGACACGCACCTGTTGCCAAGGGCCTGAACATGAATATTACTGAGCCAAGTTACGAAGCCACAAGCAGAGGCAAAGAAACAGACCTAGAAAGTGCAACTTTGAGGCAAGCGTTTTTCCAAGCGGTCTACCGGATGATTGGGATATCGAAGTTATCCTGGTGAACTTGCCATCCCCTGAAGCTGACCCCCTCATGAGGACGCTTTCGCGCAACACAACCTAACAACAGGGTTAACTAGAACCAATGTAATTCTTTCGATGATTTTATGCTGACTAGCTTGCTTCATCGAATTCATCAAGTTGTGGTCTCCCTTACTTGATTACATCGATGGTCTTGATTGATCAAATTAACATGCCAGCCTCCTTATTGGAACTTGTACTAGACTGAAAACCAGGTGAATGGTGCGACTAGAAACCGTCACCTTGCAGTCTGCAACTGATATGCTGTAGCGTTGCATGCAAGTAAGAAGCATGCCATTGAACCCCACGCCTCGAGCACACGGCGGCGGGCTGCTGCCTCACCAGAAAGGTCCATGGAGGCCTCCCACTCACACGGGCTAAATCCGGCCAAGAACCCCTTGATCAGCACTCAAACTCTTGCCGCCCGCCTCCTTGAAGGCCGAGGCTTGCAGCCATGCCAGTTTCACGTCAGTGTCTGCACGGAGGCTGAAGGGCCAATGCTCCTGTACAGGGCAAAGATGCTTGCCAATCAGAGCAGGCACGCATCATCTCCTGCAAGCCCAGCAGCACGTCTTCGCCAATCGCACTGCCCTGCACGGGAAAGCGCGGCAATATACAAACATTCTGGGAATGTGCAAAGACGCCTGTGGCAGCTGCTGCTGCTCACCGCTTGGCAGTATTGCCACCGCGCTGCCTGCACCCAATGACGTCTTCTGAAACCCCGATGGGCTCAGTCACGCTTTGTGAAGCCGCCTGAAAGGATCTGGATGAAGGCGCTAGACTTTTGCCCAGCTTGGCCTGAGGGTTTGCCAATGGGTTTAAATCGGCATTACCTGGGTTCCTCTCACAGCCTTATCGAGCAACACCAAGCTTTAGCATACTTACACTTGTCTACGTCTGGACACTTGCATTTGCAATCTGCAGCCCTCTCAGCGCTGCACAAATGAGTTCCCCCTGGTCGATGCATACGAACTGGGTTGACCGGCAAATATCCTGGGCAGTGGCAGCGGTCTAAATGGACAGAAGCATTAACTCAACATGCTGGTTCCCAGCAATGTCTCAGTTGCTTGAGAGCATTGCGATCAAGATTCCCGCAGAGAGCGGTTCTCCAAGTTCTCAAAGATCTCAGCACATGCTCAGCAGCAGTATGCTAGGTCGCGCTGCAACTCAAGAAGGCTACTAGCCCCCGAAGCGCCATGGCCACGCAACAAACATAATCACAAACATGTGTGGGTGAGGAATCTCTGTGCAGGGCCTCGTAGCGCAACAACAGCTGCGAGAGTTGCGCGAAGTCCTTGGCAGCCAGCTGCGAACCTGCAGAGTAGCTGACAGATACACCGAGAATCCAGCATGCATGTGGAAGATGTGTCAACAACTGGGAAAGAAGCAACTCGCAGCAAGCCGTGGTTGCATTAGCCTGCTCGCTTTTGTAGTCCGTCCGCTAGCGCAGGAGCAAAGAAGGTGTCCTGAGTCTGACACTCTCATGTACGTGTTAACGCCAGACCAGAAAACACAAAATGCTCCAAGTGATCTCGTGTTCCCACCCCCATACTCCACTCCCAGGCCAATTGGATGGCATGATCAAGACCTATTTTCAATGAAAACCATGACCAAGCCTTGTAGCTCTTGTGAAATCTGGCCTCCAAATCCTGAAGCTTTCGGAACTCCCGCACACCCAGCCTCTCCACCAATACCACGTTAACAAAAACATCATGTTGCTAATCTGGTCGAATTACATGTCAGATTCTGGAATGTGCTTGCAGATAGGTCTCTGCTGCGATCTCTTCCAGCCAGGTAGACAAGGCGGAGGGGTCCATCATCAGAATATCTGCCAATGGCATAAGCTGGCTGACAATGTGAAAGTTGATTGCGGGGATGAAGGGATTTCCCCTTCGGCTAATTTGCGCCCCCGCTTCCCTCGTCCAGCGCAGGCACCCTCTAGGAAACTGCGTGCCCCTTCGGTTTGCGCTGTTTCGCGAAATATTATCTTTTGCATTACGCGCCCCGGGTTCTCAACTTCTTTTTGGTGCTCATTTGAAAAGGGAAGCTCTTTGGTGTCACAGGGTACCGTCATTAGTCAGCCCGATGTGGACAAAAAAACTCATTCCCACAATCGCTCTTTTCATCATCATCATCATCATCATCTGTATCATCATCATCACTCACTCACTCACACGCCGCTGAGAAAATCCCAGTCTTGCGGGCGCTACCGTCCCTCTATGGGGATTGGCCGTGCGATTGACGGCGCGCCAGAAGGGCTATCTACATCAAAAGAGCCAGCTCCCAGGCTTCATGATACTACGTGGCTGACCACTGGCATTGTATCATACAAGCGACCTGCACTGATGCTTGGCATCGCTCGCCGAACACGATACAGGAGGAGATAGGCGTTTCTGTCAATCAGATCCCAATCGGCACTAGTCGCAGCTCTTGGGTGCCGGTTATCATCTATGATGTCGGTTCTGTCTGGCAATGATGTGTGTCCGACCTGGTTACTGTCTCCATGTATGCGGAACGCAACATAGTGCCCATTGTACGGCGTACTGCCCATGTGGACAATACCTCCAGTAAGGACATATTCCATAGTACCTAACTCGTTTGA